TTTATTCTGAGTCATTATTTAATCCGAGTTACCATTCAATCTGAGTTACCATTCAGTTATTCAATCGGTGTTATTTAATGAGTCAATATTTAATCTGTTATATTTAATCTGAGTCAATATTTATTCTGAGTCATTATTTAATCCGAGTTACCATTCAATCTGAGTTACCATTCAGTTATTTAATCTGTGTTTTATTTAATCTGTTATATTTTTAATCTGAGTCAATATTTAATCCGTGTTACCATTCAATCCAAGTTACCGTTCAATCCGTGTTACCGTTCAATCTGCGTTACCGTCAGATTTCACTCATTCATTAGTTACTATCAACAAACCTTGTTTGAATCTTCCTCCCCTGCCTCCTCTTCCTCCTCCTCTGCGCCCTCTGAACCCTGAAGAAAGCACATTAATCTGATGCAGAGCTCAGGAGAACAAACTGAAGACTCAAACTTACCGTTCTCATTCACTTCATTGCCGTTCTCTGCAGAGAGAAAACACACGTTTACCACCACTGATCAATAAACTATAACAGGTGTGTAATCATTACCACTGATCAATAAACTACAACAGGTGTGTAAACATTACCACTGATCAATAAACTATAATAAGTGTGTAAACATTACCACTGATCAATAAACTATAACAGCTGTGTAAACATTACCACTGATCAATAAACTATAACAGGTGTGTAAACATTACCACTGAATTCACTCTGGTTGTTTCTGCCAAAGCCTCTGCTGCGACCTGACAGGAAATATCATGTTAATTCACTGCTTCAAACATTCAGGCTGTGAATGAAGGCGGGGCTTAAAATCAACTTTAATTACACTTCCTGTTTGCCGCAGCTCACAGGTGATGATGATGATGGAGTGTTAGTAGTAAGTGTAATGTTCAGCTAATTTTAGCTTCTTTTAAACCTTTAAATTTGGTTTTACAGATATTATGCTAACAGCAGCTGAGTTCAGTTCTTGACTCACCTCGACCTCTGAAACCACCTGTTTCTCTGGCTGAAGAGTTCCAACTGTCCCCATCTGCAAACATGTTCATCATCAACAGCTGACGAGACACTACAGTCCAACATGTATAACAGACCACCAGACCTGGTCCTCCTCTGACCCTGTTAGACTGCTAGACTGAGGACCTGGTCCTCCTCTGACCCTGTTAGACCACCAGACTGAGGACCTGGTCCTCCTCTGACCCTGTTAGACCACCA